GCATTTTTACAACGTCAAAAAGTGATAGTGACAGTTCTTCTTAAATATTTTATGAAATGTCATCTTATTCATGTTAACGTAAGCCTCTAATTCGTATAAAAAAATAAAACGAAAATTTGAAACGTGCTACTGTGAACTTTATAATAAAAGATATAAGATTGACTTTAAATCGTTATCGGACTCTGTAGCTTCGCCTTTTTGAAAAGTGTATGACTTGAGAGAGATATATGGGAAAGGGATGTGTCGATTAATAACACTGTAGTTGGAACATAAGTATTAATTATTATCGATAAATAAACGTCGCTAGTTGTCGGGATTGCTCAATAGAATGTATTTTATGTGTGTGTGCAAAAATATACGTAATCGTAATGTAATAAGGTCTATGGTGGTCTGTGTCAGAGGTAATTTTAATATTTGGTGATGTAACAGTATTCGGAGTGGCCTAATTCCCCGAGAAATCGGTCCACATTGGTCTAAGAAAAAATAATATTAGTACACTTAATTTGTTTTTCACATTTTATTGATCTAAGAATCCTTATTCTGTAAATAAAAAAATGTTTTGAAGTTTTTTTTTATTGCAATATAGTTTTGGGTGTTATCCAATTTTACTTACGACTCATACCTCTGTTATAAATTGACATTTATCGTCACGCGTTAAAATACAATTTCGCTTGTAGAAAGAACAATATCATTAGTCAGATGACTGCATTATAACGGTGTGGTAATATGGTTCAATGTGAAATGTAAATTTTTAGAAATTTTAATTGGCCTAAAGCAAAATTGGAAACTTTATAACTTTTAGAATCCAAATATCGAGTACCGATGTGACATGGTCGTATGATCGCGAAGGGTGAGGTACTTAAGTCTGTTAGCTGCATAATAGGTCAAATTTAAAGAATGGCATGCTGAAATCGCATAATTTCGAGAGGAAATTTCAAATTAATAAAGAGTTACGCGTTTTGAATGACGCTAGAATTTTTTAAGAGTGCTAAGGCATCGTTTCTCAACTCGGGGGTTTGCTTTAATTATTAGAGATTGTAGCTATGGATGTTTTAAAAAAAAATGTCTTAGAACATTGCCTATTTTGCAGTATCAATCGTTTCTTGCTGTTTTTAAAGTACCCACTACACTCTGTTGCACGCATTGATGTATTTTTAATTGTTTTTTTATTATTCAGTGTGTTGAGAGATTGAGAATGTCGAGAAAAAAATTATGTAAAGGAAATCTAGTTAGAGAATCTAGTCTCGCAGAATCTCGTGTCGCTAGATTAATTTTGGCGGGAAATTTTTAATTATGGCCCACTTACGCCATTTTGGTTAATGTCTTTTGGACTCGTGTGTTAGATTAACTGCGCTACTTATAAACAAGATTTAGCGTCAGAGTAAATTACGCTAAAATTGCAGTTTTAGTATTAGTCCATATTCATAGTACACCGAGAATAAGCAAACCTACTACCTTATAGGAGTAAATGTTACTCCCGTAGAACCTCGTACTAGGTTAACCTTTGCCAAGTCTCTGTCTAATAATATTAATTTAGACTAATACCAAGTGCAGTCTCAGCGTATATTTACTCCAACGCTAAATCTTGTTTATAAGTAGCACTGTTAGAGTTTAGTGTCGCCTTATGTAATGTTATTATTAAAATTTTGTAAATGGATGATAATAATACGAAAAGGAATTGATTAATTGTGAAATTAAACTTAAGGTGCTTAATTCGAGTGAATTTTGTAAGCAATTTGAAGTATTCGTTAGTGTTGAGGATCAAATAACACCAAGTATAGTTAAATGTTTATAGCTAATGGTTCACTATGGATTGGAGTGCGTTTCAATTTTGTAGTGTAAAAAGTGATTCCAATACATTACAGATATGTCCATTGATAGATATTTTGGGTCGTCAGCCAAAAAAGTTTAGGAACCGCTGTTATTATGCATACAGGATAACTTTTCTAATCGGTGCACAATTTTTTTCTTAATTTAGTATGATTATTGTACAACATAGATATAAAAAATGTAATATCATATATAAATAGTAATCTTGTTTTCACATGTGCTATAAAAATTGTAGGTATATCGATATAAATCAGTAATTTATCTTCGGCGTATGTCCAATTAATGATGGACATACGCCGTATGTTGTTGTATGTTTAAACAGATGATTTTTTTATTTTTCCTTCTGTTAAATTCTGTGATTTGCAATAATAACGAACATAATATAAGAAATTGTGCACTGAATAAAATATTCCTGTATTATATATTCAGTTCTTAGGGTAAAGAAATAAGAAATCATTGAATTATGAACCTTATTCCGATGCGACATTGAAACTTGTTACGTGTATGGTTTGTCTTCTACTTAAACGGTTATAATATTAGCTATCTATCCTTGTTCTGTCAATTAAAAAAAAGGTACGCTACTTAAATATAATTATAGTCTGCAAAGGCATTGGAGCATTACCAGTGGTCGGAATTAGGTAGAGTTATTCATGTACTTACACTGATTTCATACAGCGAAAGAATAAAGTGGATATGCCTCAAATCCCGAGATTAATTTTAAAGAGCAGAAAAAATCCCGTGATTTTTTAAATAAAAGTTATTTACTTTTACACAATTTAAACTACTGCACGCACGACGTTGCCAAACTTACATCAATGAAAGAAAGAAATAAAGAAAGAAGAAATAAAGAAATCCCGGGAAGGTCCACAATAATATCAACATTTCGATGTAAGTAAATAAATAACTCTACCTAATTCCGACCTCTGAGCATTACTTACCCGTTAATGATACGAAATTACGATATAATGATGAGAAAAATATGTGTTCTTTTAGAAAAAGCCTTTAAAATGTGTGAGATGAAATATAGATAGATGATGTTTGTCAATTGAGCAATAATTTATTACATATCTAACGTATGTAATTATTACATTTGAAGTATAATCATTTATATTACAAAAAAATAACGCATCTTGTTTTTTTAATGATTTGGGAAAATTAAAAATTGCCTGGATCCCCTAACAGGGTAACCATTTTCCCTGGTCAAAGATTTTGTTGATATAAGTATGTGATTTTTACCAAAGCCATCAAATCACATTGTTAATTGTCTTAATTATACAGTCGACAACACGTTAGGTTACACATAAAGCCAACAAATTTCTCCACTCGATTTTAAACCTTAATGCATTTAGAATATAATGCAAGATCGACTGTAGTTTGAAATATTGTGGTGTTCTCACATGATGTATATTTTCTGCTGCAACATCAGTAATTTCGTGAATCACCAAAGTTCATTAAATTATTACATAAAATAATGGTGTGAAAATACATAGTTCTAATAATGTTGCATATGGAAAAATTTTGGCTCTATTTAAATTCTATAATTTTTAGCGCCTCTTAAAGTTTGTACCAATGGCAGTAAAGCCGAGTATTAAATGCAAACGCATTATAATAAACTGTTTATTTTATTAGAAAAATTGTACGAGAGCTTGTCGAATTTGTGAGAAGGAATAATATTATAACTCCCGGCGAAGCTCGTACGTATTTGATTACGTTCCAATATTATTGTAATTTCGTGTACAGTGTAATTTTAAATGCGCTCCTACTTATTTTAAATTAACAGCTTACATTTCTCTCTGTCATAATACATAAAACTCCATGGGAAACCAAAGACAAAAAATCCGACATGATTTAATTTTTTTTTTATTATTTATTTTCGTAAAAATCCAGCTAGTCTAATAAATCGGCTGATTTTCAAAACTACCATTAAATATTTTCAATCTTATTTTTGTATTAATTATAGTTATTTAAGTTTTGCCACAGAAGTATCCAGAATTACTTTTAACTTGTATAGATAATTCGATATAAAGACAATTTAATGCAAAGATTATGTAAGCTAAGTATTTAGTTGTAATTATTTTTTGTTCTAGAAATATATCGACTGTCTCGATGATTAATCTACTGATATGGTAGAGAATTTTAAACGTGGCAACATCGAGTGGAAATGACAAAACAAAAATATATTTTAGCCAGCTTATGGTATCTATGGCGCTGTAAGAGCAGTAATATTGTCATTGATAAAAATCCATGTATTAAAACATGGGTGGGTGTTACAGAAATATTAATTAACCCTTAGTATATGCGAGTTTTGTAGTCAACGTGAGAGTTTTTGATTTACGCATAATTTTAAGGCGAATGTAAATAAGATTACCTTTTAAATGCATTTCGTTCATGTGTATGTATTTTTTTAACATTTTTTTTTTTTAATTGAGATTATTGCAGTATTTTGTTATTTAGGTAATAGGTACGCAAATAGCCATATACATTTTTAATGTTAATTTTGTCTATATGAAATTAAAAATTAAATTATTGTTATTAACTTTCCAAGATATAAAGAACTTAATTTGTAATGTGGGCTTTTTATTTTCGTTTGCTCCCTTTTTTCAGCTACCGTTAAGAAAATTAAAGTACTCGGCCTGCCGTTTAAATCTAAACATAACCATTAGTTATACTGGTGGTAAAAAATTGCTAAAAGTTCTCATTTTAATGGCGTATATCTGCCATACTGAATATTTTTTTTGTAATTGCCTTTTTTACTCGGAATGATGTACCGTTTATGTAACTATGTATTAAAATAATCTTTCAAAAGTTAAGTGAACTAAAGAAAATCACATATATGCATTAATACTAAACACAATACACTTCTTTATTTGGGTAGTCGTACTTAAAGTTTTTGTTGTTTCTAGTAAGTAGGTTCCGTGAGTCTTTCAATTTACCACATGAAATATGGTCGATAGGTTTAATTTTTTTTTAATTTGTATTTTTGTGCTGATTGTCCAGAATCTGTGATGTATTCTTTGGATATAATCTCAAAACTTCCAATCAAAACCTGGTTTTTTTTTATTTTAATTTTTTGACACAAAATGCCATGTGTTATTTTGACATACAAAATTTTAAGTAGTTAAATTATACAATAAAATAAATAAATGCATGATTTATCTTAACGCAACATAATGAATGTGCCTAGAACCCAAAGAGAAAGTGCTCCCACAAAATTTTCACAGGAAACTATAGAAGAGAGGTATAAGAGGTGTTCTCTTCTGAATTTAATCGAACATATCGATATATACGGCAAATTTCACTCGGCTTACTTAGAAAAATGTAAGCGTAGAACGATTAATTCAGCAGTGTCAGTCAGCTCGGTGTCTACGTCTTCAAGTAAATTCTTTAAAGGAAATCCCAGTGTTTCTGATAAAATTCGTGTAAATGAGAAGTTGAGTAAGTTCTCTGTGACGACCAAAGTGTCTGGTCTGTATCCGGGTCATGATATTTTATCTAAAAGGGCCAGGAAGCTGAGGGCGTGTGCTATTAGAAATCTACCGCTTAATGTAGTGATGACCCGGTGAGTTCGTAACGTGAATAAATGTTTTTTTTTTTACTTTTGTTGTTTTTTTTTTGTTTCAAAATATCATTTAACGGTTTTGGCTTCGAATCTCAACGTTGGTGCATTATAAACAATTTTCGTTATTATAAATGTGTAGGTACTTACTTTGAAAACGTGAATACCTAAATATATTATAATATTGACCAATTACTGATTAGATGCTTACGAAGCCTCTTTTATTCTTCCTAGTTACCTACATTTTTATATTAGTATCGATCATTTATTATTAAGTGAGCTGATTGCCCGCTAAATTATTTAATTAGCCTATGTCAACCGAGTATGTATAACATACTTTCCCGTATGTGAAAGAATTTGCCAGTAGTTTCAGAGTCTTTTCAATGAGAACGAATAAACTATCAAACCTTTCTTTGTTATAAAATAACAGCATATTTTATGTGGAAGAAAACCGTATGAAAATTATCATATATTTCTTGATTCAATGTTACGTTTGTAGGACCCAATAGGTTGAAGGAGTGGTCCTACTGGATGACGGAGACAACTGGCAAGGGAAACTAAAGGATAACTGTCTCCCTCCGAGCTAGGTGTTATTAGCCCGGGGACCCAAGTCCTGAGGGAGACTTATCCTTTAGTGCCCTTGCCAGTTGTCTCCATCATACAGTAGGACCACTCCTTCCAATGGTTCCTACAGTGGTGACCCTAGCAGAACATCAGCAACCTTCAGCATCACAACACAGCCATCACTCTTCATCAATAGCCTCTCACCCTTCATCATCAACCATAACGGTTTTCGCTGGGTGCGCGATGACGGCGCCAACTAGCGGTTACAATGATGTCGGAATTTGAAATTTCATGGCCGGCGGTCAGTACGAAGATTAAACAAACTAATTTCCATCCATCCTAATTTACTCAGATTCTATTCCAATATATAACAGAAACCTGTATTTTCATTTGTATTGTCTCAGAAGAAAAATGAACTTTGCGTAATCGAAATAAGTGTAATATAACTTTTCATAACAGGTATATTTTAAGTTTACATACTGACATTTCAAAGTATCACTACATTTAAGTTTATTTATAATCTGGATACGCGATTGTATCCATGAGATAAGAAATTAAAAACAATGTAAATTACAAATTTATTTTAGAGATAATAGAACTCACAATGTGTACGTTCACTTAACATATTAACTTAACACTAAGCAGCGATACCGTCTTGTACGCCGTCATCATCTGAAACAAACGCTTTTTTTTTAGATACCATTTTATAAGATAAATGTAAAAGCATCTTTACGAAGATCACTTGATTTAGTTACTTTTTTTTAATTGCTAGTTACTCAATTGTAGAGAGAGCGTGATCATCGGTACTCCTAATTTTACTAGAATGGTGACACTGACTTTGACAGTTCGTTAACAAAAGCTAATTGCCGCCATTTTAAGCACACATTCTGTTTCCGATCGCCGAGGAGTAAAGACATCTGACGACATCACGCTCATCTCGTTATATTTTCGTGTGAAAAGTGATAAAATGGAACAAATCCACGTTGGTATACACGCCTGCAGTGTTATTTTAAAGATAGTCCTCCGATATGTACAATCTATTTGGGCTTCGTAATAGCCCCTTCGGACTACCCGCCGTTATATATATATATATTGCCTGTTCGTTAGGTAGATTATTGAATGATATGAAATTCATTGAACACGTTTTTTTACATAGTTTTAAGCATTATAATTCAACAAAAACAAGGTACACTGTAGCAAATTATGATTGCACCGTTTTTTTTTTGTAATCTATAAAGTACGGCGACAAATGCCGTTTGATGTCACACATGTACATCTACTACATACTTGTGACGTAGCGAGCCCCCACTCCCTTGACTTTAATGCCTTGCCTTTAATGTTCTAATGTTCAGTTTCAGAAACGTCCATTAATGACGTCTTTGAGCTCTAACGAATGTGAAACTTGTATCGGTAATGTGGCTTTAAACTATTGACAAATTTTAATGGACGTTTGTGCAACTGACTATAAGCAATTTCTTGTTGAATTGAAGCTAAAATATCTTATTTTTTACTCATACATGTATATAGAATACATGAGTGAATTCGAATTCGGGTTCGGATTTTTACGCCCTGCTGGGCAGATAGTTGTCTAGAGCCGTTCGCGAATGTTTGTATGTATATCGTATTACCTTTATCGTCTGTGTCCATCGGCTCTGGCGTCTCCTGGTAGGCGGGCGCCAGCGGTGAGACCACGACGCCGTCCCAGACGGTGATCTCGGTGGATATGTCCTTGCCGCCCTCGAACGCTTGCAGGCCCAACACGTAACGGTGACCGCCGCGGGCCACCACGCGGAGCAAACTGATTTATTCAAGACAAAAATAATAATAATTAGTTCCCGAAATCAAACTAGATGTCGCTACGGTGCGTTCTCGATTTCTCCATGACAACCCTGCTCTTCTTTTATGTATAAAAGTAAATTAATTTTCAAAACTCAATAAACAACTCGTATACTATTCTTACTTTTTCTGTATTTGTATTGATAAAAGTTTCGAACTTTGCAAATTTCAGTTTTATGTCAGTTAAAAGGAACGGAAATTACTATATTTGGTCCATAATATTCCAGCAAAAATCAAATTTGGTAGAGTCGTCATCTAGTGAGGTGCTTTATTAGTGCTTTCCTATTTTTAAATACATCCTCATTGAGAAGGTGAAAAGCTTGTTTATTTATTTATTACTCAATCATGCACCAGCTTACAGAATTCTCCATCACACTAGCTCATTATACATTTGTCATAATAATTTCAATTTGTACAAGTAAAAAAAAAAGAAAAAAGTATTTGTACTGATATTGATTTACGTCAGATTTACAACCAATAAATAAGCAATGTCAAATTGTGAAATAATAATCAAAATATTAATTTATATAAATAAAAAAAAAACATGAATTTAAAGTACGTAGTAGATAAATGTCCAACAATAATATAAATCAATGCTAAGGATTACTTAATTTATAAAGAATCTAGGTGTTTATTATAACCTTAATCTAACTCTAAATCTCAAAGGCTAGAGACGACATTCTTTAGTTTCCCGTAATGTTAAAATATCCAATCTAGTATCGTGATGGGTTTGTTGAATACACAAACACTCTACTGATTATTTTTGATAACTTATATTAATTTTCACATTGCAAAAGGTCCTAGTTTTAATAAAACTGCTTTCAAATGATTTACTCAATTCAAAAACCGGTTATTAGTTTTAACAGAGTGTTTTAAATACATTGAACACTCGTGGTCTTGTAATATAAACCTTCCTCTAATATTCATGAAAACCGCAAAAAAAATGTAGCTTTAAAGATCTTAGCGTACAGACAGCGAGAAGCTGCTATGTATAGATAAATACCTTGCTACATTTTATTTATCAGTGTATTTAACTTAGCATGAAACTAGATTGGATATTCTAATAATTGGAACTGGATGTGGACATTTCGGGAATATTAAATTCTGAAACTAATTGACATTTTAGGTAATGACATATCCCCATTGGTAGGGATACTAGGATATTTTTTTCCAATTATTGCTACCAGTAGGGATAAGTTTTCTAGGGTTTCTTTAATATTATGTATGACATATTGAGTGTTCAAAAAAAAAAAAAGAGTTATGAAAACAATTTTAATACAAAGAATGTATGAGAAGGTAAATTTGTGACAAATGTTAATCAAACTTGCACAGAATTTATTGACTATTAAAAACATAACTTTATTTGAGTAAAACATAACATGTACTCTGATTGATGATTTATTTGGTATTAACAATTACTTTTGATTTGTTTATGTTTTGTTGACGCATAAAAAGTAAATTATTTTTATATGACATTGTCAATTTTCTTTGCGTAATAGCAGAGATTACTGAAGTGAATAGGAACATGGAAATATTATTTATTTTCCGCTTGTATGTTGCAACTTTGCAATAATGACTGAACTAATATTCGTAATAAGGGGTCGAGTTATTTAACGATGGGTATCAATATATACAGGAAAAAAATACAAATATATAAAAAATATCCCTCCTGGATAAGTGGAAATAAAAATCCAAGTATCCCAACAAGTGCAAATCATTGGAGGTAGGTGGAGCAACAGATTCCATATATCGCACGTTGAGAACGATAGTGACACAATGCTAAAATGCGATTTTGAGTAATGAGCGTTTAAAGTTTAAGAAATTGTAATCAGCCCCTCTAAACAACGTAACGTTAGTACGCCACCTAGCAGTTTCTATGCAAACAAAGTTCACAGGGATCTTTGCATTTTAAAGTTTATACTTAACAAAGAAAAATGTCAAAAGTAAAAAATACGTCATTTTTGTTTAGTGACATTGTCATTTTCAACGTGCGATATTCATACCGGTAGAAATAATTGGAAAAAATATCTGAATTCCCTACCAATAAGGAAATAAGGTTTAAAACTGATCATAAGGGACTTAATATGAGTTAACTGTATGTAATGTGTGTATACTCACGTCTGCGCCGTGGCGGCGGCCAGGTCCTGCGCGCACAGGTCCAGGGCGGTGTGCGCGCGCGCGTGCGCCGCCTCGCACGGGTCCGGCAGCCCCGCGCAGCCCGGCAGGAACAGCCCGCCCGCCACCAGGGACAACGCGCGCCTGCACACGCGATACCGTCACATACAGGGACAACCAGGGACAACGCGCGCCTGCACACGGCATAGCGTCATATACAGGGACAACCAGGGACAACGCGCGCCTGCACACGGCATAGCGACATATACAGGGACAACCAGGGACAACGCGCGCCTGCACACGCGATACCGTCATATACAGGGACAACCAGGGACAACGCGCGCCTGCACACGCGATACCGTCATATACAGGGACAACCAGGGACAACGCGCGCCTGCACACGGCATAGCGTCACATACAGGGGCAAACAGGAACAACGCGCGCCTGCACACGGCATACCGTCATATACAGGGACAACCAGGGACAACGCGCGCCTGCACACGGCATAGCGACATATACAGGGACAACCAGGGACAACGCGCGCCTGCACACGCGATACCGTCATATACAGGGACAACCAGGGACAACGCGCGCCTGCACACGGCATACCGTCATATACAGGGTCAACCAGGGACAACGCGCGCCTGCACACGGCATAGCGACATATACAGGGACAACCAGGGACAACGCGCGCCTGCACACGCGATACCGTCATATACAGGGACAACCAGGGACAACGCGCGCCTGCACACGGCATAGCGTCATATACAGGGACAACCAGGGACAACGCGCGCCTGCACACGGCATAGCGTCATATACAGGGACAACCAGGGACAACGCGCGCCTGCACACGGCATACCGTCATATACAGGGACAACCAGGGACAACGCGCGCCTGCACACGGCATAGCGACATATACAGGGACAACCAGGGACAACGCGCGCCTGCACACGCGATACCGTCATATACAGGGACAACCAGGGACAACGCGCGCCTGCACACGGCATAGCGTCATATACAGGGACAACCAGGGACAACGCGCGCCTGCACACGGCATAGCGTCATATACAGGGACAACCAGGGACAACGCGCGCCTGCACACGGCATAGCGTCATATACAGGGACAACCAGGGACAACGCGCGCCTGCACACGGCATAGCGACATATACAGGGACAACCAGGGACAATGCGCGCCTGCACACGGCATAGCGACATATACAGGGACAACCAGGGACAACGCGCGCCTGCACACGGCATAGCGACATATACAGGGACAACCAGGGACAACGCGCGCCTGCACACGCGATACCGTCATATACAGGGACAACCAGGGACAACGCGCGCCTGCACACGCGATACCGTCATATACAGGGACAACCAGGGACAACGCGCGCCTGCACACGGCATACCGTCATATACGGGGATAACCAGGGACAACGCGCGCCTGCACACGGCATAGCGACATATACAGGGACAACCAGGGACAACGCGCGCCTGCACACGCGATACCGTCATATACAGGGACAACCAGGGACAACGCGCGCCTGCACACGGCATAGCGTCATATACAGGGACAACCAGGGACAACGCGCGCCTGCACACGGCATAGCGTCATATACAGGGACAACCAGGGACAACGCGCGCCTGCACACGGCATAGCGTCATATACAGGGACAACCAGGGACAACGCGCGCCTGCACACGGCATAGCGACATATACAGGGACAACCAGGGACAATGCGCGCCTGCACACGGCATAGCGACATATACAGGGACAACCAGGGACAACGCGCGCCTGCACACGCGATACCGTCATATACAGGGACAACCAGGGACAACGCGCGCCTGCACACGCGATACCGTCATATACAGGGACAACCAGGGACAACGCGCGCCTGCACACGCGATACCGTCATATACAGGGACAACCAGGGACAACGCGCGCCTGCACACGGCATAGCGTCACATACAGGGGCAAACAGGAACAACGCGCGCCTGCACACGCGATACCGTCATATACAGGGACAACCAGGGACAACGCGCGCCTGCACACGCGATACCGTCATATACAGGGACAACCAGGGACAACGCGCGCCTGCACACGCGATACCGTCACATACAGGGACAACCAGGGACAACGCGCGCCTGCACACGGCATAGCGTCATATACAGGGACAACCAGGGACAACGCGCGCCTGCACACGGCATAGCGACATATACAGGGACAACGCGCGCCTGCACACGGCATAGCGACATATACAGGGACAACCAGGGACAACACGCGCCTGCACACGCGATACCGTCATATACAGGGACAACCAGGGACAACGCGCGCCTGCACACGCGATACCGTCATATACAGGGACAACCAGGGACAACGCGCGCCTGCACACGGCATAGCGTCACATACAGGGGCAAACAGGGACAACGCGCGCCTGCACACGCGATACCGTCATATACAGGGACAACCAGGGACAACGCGCGCCTGCACACGCGATACCGTCATATACAGGGACAACCAGGGACAACGCGCGCCTGCACACGCGATACCGTCACATACAGGGACAACCAGGGACAACGCGCGCCTGCACACGCGATACCGTCATATACAGGGACAACCAGGGACAACGCGCGCCTGCACACGCGATACCGTCACATACAGGGACAACCAGGGACAACGCGCGCCTGCACACGGCATAGTGTCACATACAGGGACAACCAGGGACAACGCGCGCCTGCACACGGCATAGCGTCACATACAGGGACAACCAGGGACAACGCGCGCCTGCACACGGCATAGCGTCATATACAGGCACAACCAGGGACAACGCGCGCCTGCACACGGCATAGCGTCATATACAGGGACAACCAGGGACAACGCGCGCCTGCACACGGCATACCGTCATATACAGGGACAACCAGGGACAAAGCGCGCCTGCACACGGCATAGCGTCATATACAGGGACAACCAGGGACAACGCGCGCCTGCACACGGCATAGCGTCACATACAGGGACAACCAGGGACAACGCGCGCCTGCACACGGCATAGCGTCATATACAGGCACAACCAGGGACAACGCGCGCCTGCACACGGCATAGCGTCATATACAGGCACAACCAGGGACAACGCGCGCCTGCACACGGCATAGCGTCATATACAGGCACAACCAGGGACAACGCGCGTCTACACACGGCATAGCGTCATATACAGGGACAACCCGCCCGCCACCAGGGACAACGCGCGCCTGCACACGGCATAGCGTCATAAAACTGATTATACACAGGGACAACGCATGCCAAATACCAAGGGCGGATCCATTTTTGGCGCCGGAGGGAGGGGTCACATAGTCTTGATCATTTCATAAGACAGTTCATTTTGATAATAGTAGATAGTCTTATATGAAATTTATTAAATTTTAAAAGTTCTTAAATTAAATCCATACTGGAAGTGGGCACATGGCTAGATAGCCAACTAGATGGTCCAGCAGCGAACAGTAGTCTAGGGTACGACAGGGTGATAAAAAATGCTGCCTTAATGACTAAAAGTTTAAAAATCACTTATTTAAATTAAAGGGACAACGTGCACATACACGTGCACTACTCACGATACACAGGGACAGCATTCTCGCCATTAGGGACAACACGCGCTTTCATGTAAATATTCGTTAGATGGAATAAACTCTTATGAAAAGCGTTGAGCGATGCAGAAGTTTACGTAATGTAATCTTGTCCCAGATGCAAAATCAGCTTTGGACGATACGATTACAATCCAAAACTCACGCCTGATTACGAGGGTCAAACTGAAAGTTCTTAGAAAATCAAAAACTGATTACATTAGCCAGTTATTAGTTTTATTATATCTTTTCAAAATATTGTCCATTCACGTCAATACACCGCTGCATGCGATGGAACCACTGGGAAAAGCACTTTGCCCACTCGTCCTTAGGGGTCTCTTCAATGGCATCGCGATACGCAGCCACCGCTTCTTCAGCATTCATAAACCGCTTTCCTTTAAGTTTTTCTTTAATTTTTGGAAATAAATAAAAATCACAAGGCGCGAGGTCGGGGCTATACGGCGGGTCACCCAGTAATTCAACGTTTGATGTCGCCAAATAGTCGATCGTTCGCTTGGCGGTGTGCGACGAGGCGTTGTCGTGGTGAAGGAGGATCCTACTGCGAGGTCGTTTCTCTCGAACTTTTTCCAAGACAAGTGGCAAACAATTGGTAGTGTACCATTCTGCAGAAACTGTTTTTTTGATCCTCTAACACAATTGTTGCAAAATGACCTATCCTTCCAAAGAACGAGGCCACCATTTTTTTTCCCGCACTTCGATCTCTCTTCACTTTAGTTGGCAACTCCTCGAAAGGAAACACCCACTGAGCAGATTGTCTTTTGGTTTTAGGATCATAACAGTAAATCCAGCTTTCGTCACCTGTTAGTATGTCGAACACAGCATTTGAGTCACCTCCGTTAAATCTTTCAATCATTTTACGACACCAATCCACACGATGGAGTTTTTGAGCCTCAGTCAAATTATGAGGTATCCACCGGGCGCAAAGCTTCCTGACCGCTAAATGTTCGTGGAGGATTTTGTGCACTTGACTCATACCGATGCCTAAGCTTGTCCGAATCTGTTGATAGGTCACTCTTTTGTCAGTCTCTATCATACGCCGCACAACACAGATGTTATCTTCAGTCGTCGCCGTAGAAGGCCGTCCCTCACGTAAATCATCAGTGAGATTAGTGCGACCACGTTTAAACTCATTAAACCAGTTGTAAACAGTCGCACGAGATGGGGCTTCATCGTGAAAGGCCAATCGTAGTCTATCATAACTTTCTTGTTGACTTAAATGACATCGAAAGTCATAAAAAATCATTGCACGAAAATTTTCTCGTGTTAAATTCATGATGACGTGACACAGACAATTTTCAATTTGCCGCCAAATCGTAAAACAAATGACAAATGAATGAAATATATACTCAGTAATATTGGCAAAGAGTTATATTTTCAAATTTTAGAATTATTTTTTTATTATATTGTTTATAAGTGGCCAGTTCTAAGAACTTTCAGTTTGACCCTCGTACTATTCTGCAGGGCGATGCTGTAATATTCCAAACCCAAATTCGAATTCACTCATGTCTCCGAATTCACGTCATTCATTGAAGAAATTCTATTAATTCGATTTTTTTGTATAAAAATACAAAACAAAATTGATCGATTCATACATGTCTCTGATATTTTTCCTATATCGTTTGAAACCCACTTCACTAATGCCACGACACGGTTTAGCGGTTTACCAATTCAAGGTTGAGCGGATGCCGCTTTCTGAAGTCAATTCAGACACCTAAGTGAATTCAAATTGGGGTTTTAATTTTTACAGAAATTGTGGGCTGCTATTGAATATTATTTTAATATGGAAGTCGTATAGACCCACAAAATAAATTGTTGTGAATATGCCATATTGAATTCTAGTTAACTCAAAAGTCAAATTCAAAATAATCTTTATTCATATAGACTTCTTAAAAAGTACTTTTGAATCGTCCAACATTTTTTCCCTACCACTCGTTCGGGACGTCTTTTGGCTGACAGGAAGAACGAGCAAGAAACTCACCAGCTCTAATAGAAGTAATGACATTCACAAAAACCATTTCATTACCAGATCAATACATTATAAATAGAGAGAAGAAAAAAAACGATGGTCTTATAATGATAAAATTAAAATATTACAAATTATGATCTTATAATGATAACACGAGT